TCCCGGACCGGGGCACGAACCCGCGTCCCCTGCATCGGCAGGCGGACTCTCAACCACTGCGCCACCAGGGAAGCCCGCTCCGGACGTGCAGGCTCAGTGGCCACGGCTCACGGGCCCAGCCGCTACCGCGGCACGTGGGATCCTCCCGGACCGGGGCACGAACCCGCGTCCCCTGCATCGGCAGGCGGACTCTCAACCACTGCGCCACCAGGGCAGCCCCCGTGCCCTTTGGTTTTGTTTCTGGGTTCTCTTTCTCCTCTCTCCTCTTTCTCCCTCCTCTCCTTCCCTCTCTATCTGTGTCTCCTTGTATCTCTTTCTCTCTGTCCCGACATCTCTCCTTTTCCTTCTCTCCTTACCGTTGCCTCTGTGTCTCTTTGTCTGTTGCAGCCTGTCTCCTGGCCCCTGTCACCTCCTCTCTTCTTTCTTCTCTCTGTATCCCTGTGTTCTGGAGCTCTCTCCCCCTCCCTGTCTGTCTCTGAGCGTCTCTCCTTTCTCTGCCTCTCTCCTTGTGTCCCTCTCTCCCACTCTGTGGCTCTGTGTGCCCCACCCCGACTGTCCTGCCTCTCTTCCCTCCTCTCCTGGTCCACACGGCCTCAGCAGATGAAATGGGATGTTCCTTCCTGAAGACAGCTGGCCAGAGAGCAGCCGTCAGTGCTGCTGAACAGTGACCAGGAGACACCGGGAGCCTGGGCAAGCCATGTAGGCTAAGCTCTGACACCGAGGAGCCCCTTTGGAAACTTTCCACACCTCCCCTGCAGGTTCCAGGATGGATGTGGTGACTTTTTTGGGATTTGTGACCCTGGAGGCAAGCCCAAGCCCTGTCCGCCAGCCCCTGGGGACGACATGCACTGGGACCTGACTGTGGGGCTGCTCTGACAGCCAAGCTCCTGGGATTGGTGGGATCTGCAGGAGGATCACCAAGGGGCTGGGCCACAGCTGTGAGGGGAAGGGATCCTCAAGCTCAGGTCTCCTGGGGATAAGACGAGATCATGGAAAGGACAGGGAGTAACAGATTCTGTCATTCATTCATTCAACAAACATTCATGAAGCCACCACCCTCTGCCAGACTTGATCTTAGCCCTGGGGACAAAGGTGGATCAGACGTGGCCCCTGCCCTCGAAAAGCTGGTTGTCACCCCCCAAGTGGCTTGTTGGGGACACATTCTGACAGAGGCAGCTCCAGGGTGTGGGGAGCTCATTCCAGCCATGCAGAAGAGGGTGAACCGGAGAGAGCAAGGCGGCTGCTGTCTGCAGTGATTCAGGCAGAAGGTGATGGTGACCTGGGCCAGGGTCAAGCATTGTTAGGAGGTAAAATCCAGGGTATTCTGGTGGCCGAATGGATGAGGATAAGGAGAGAGAAGGAGGAGTGAAGACGCGCCCATCTGACTTGGATGGTGGAACTCAGCTGAGACACATCCAGGAGGGGAGGGGGAGGCACTGGAGGATGTTGGGTGGAGATGCCCAGGAGGCTGCTGGACATATGGGTCTGGGCTGGGGCAGCAGGTCTAGAGTGGTAACTGAAGCCATATGAATGGATGGATTCACATTCCACGGATTGTGAATAGAGTGAGAAGAAAAGAAGGCTGTGGAAAGGGTTCCCAGGTTCACCCACATTCATCGGGCGAGGGAAAG